AAGAAGAAGAAGAAGAAGAAGAAGAAGGAGAGTTAGAAGTACCTCCCCGAGAACTCGGGGCAAAACGATGCTTGGGACGAGGGGTATGTAAAGGAACCCTACAAATAGAACGATCAATGGCCATCTTGCTTGGCCGCCAAGGAAAATTCGAATTTAAATCACGGACCATAGCTTCGGGGTGAGGAATGAGACACCAATCCGTAGTCCGACAAACTTTCCAAACAAACAAATACTTCTTGGTAGTACGCTAAAAAAACTTTGATTGATCAAAGCATAGATGCTTAGAAGATGGAAAGGGGTCTTCTCCATCTTATCATGTATAGGCTCAAGGGAATTAAGCATAGGTCCATATTTCTTGTCAAGTGAAAGCAATCTATGACTTCCCATTCTTCTTTTCATGGCTTATCCGCTAGCCAAAGCCAACTTAACTCTTCTCGGGATATGGCACCGAGGTATTTCTTAGAGAAGAAAGCATAGGTGAGGGTACGGCTAAAATACCTCATAGCTGCGTGAATAATCGAGGCCGACTTGGAGTATTGCGGCCGATAGGCCTCTTCATCAGCTATGTGACTCCACCATTTATCCTCACAATACATATGATCTTTTTGCAAAATTTCGAAAGCCGGATAGAAATATGGTGTCCCATCAAATGGCTTCAAAAATTGAAATGCCTCATTGAGATAAGAAAGTGGAATTGAGTGATCATTATTAAAGACTTGGAAGGTTAGAGTTGGAGGCGAATCACCATGCTCATCCTCGTGAACCTCAAGAGAAGCGAGGAACTCGAATGTAATGCGGGCAAATGTTGGTGCATTAAGATCAATGAAAGCCTCAAGCCCTAAGTTCCGAGCCAACATCCTAACGTCCTCATCAATTCCAAGCAAAGTTGTTGCCGCCCTATCATAGAATCTTGTGGAAAATAGCTTTCGAGGTGACAAGTTGTAGAAGTTGTCCCAATGTTCTCGCTTGGTGAACTCGATGCCATATGTCTCCTTGATGTAGGATGGAGGAGAAACCACCTCCCTATGATTAGAGAATCTTGCCTTTTTTACACGACGAAGGGGGGCCATCTACACACTACAAGCAAGATAAAGGTTCAATAAAAAGGGAAAATGATGAGCAAAGACAATGCATGATAATGGAAAATCCCATAAGAGCCAAAATAATCAAGGGAATAAGCAAGTATTCACAATCAAGTGAAAAATGCACTTAGAAACCCATAATTATAAACCATAATCATGTATAGTGAGAAACAATATTTCATTTAACCATCCAAACCCTTATGGACATCATCATCACCAAATCAACAACACCAAATAACAAATCAAACAATGGTAGTGCCAAAATTTTCAATAAACTCAAACAAAATCAACACCACAAAGTCATATATTTATCAACAATTCATCATCAACACAATCAAATGAAGCAAGTAGTAAGCAACATGGGTATGCTAATTAAAACCAAATTAAATCTTCATGAACAATAAAGGTAGAAAATTTATCATAAGAATAAAGAAATCATACCTTTAATTGATGAGAAATCGCAAAGAAATGGAACAAGGAGCACTATTGCACACTAACAATCCCAAATTGCTAACCTCAAAACTTCAATCAAAGAGTACCAAAAAAAAATCTCAATTTAGGAGAGAGAAAATCACCATGGAAATGCAAAAATTGAGACTAAGAGCAATAATAAACTAGATGATTATGAATTTTGATGAAATTTCAATGACTAAATGATGATGGAGGTGAAGATGATGCTTGAGCGAAAACCAAAGAAAACATAAGTGAGAAAGTAAGGTAAGAGAGAGAGAAGGAAAGAGAATCGGTGAGGTTTAAGAGGGGGAAGACGAGCAGGGGTGCGCGGCTGCATCTACCTCGTGCGCGCCCACACCTCCATGGGTATGAACTTATCCTCTCTTGTTTTTTTAATGCGCACAACGGTGGGCACACATTTTATGATGATGATAAACACCAACATAGGCAGTAGCAAAACCCCATTTTAGTGGGTTCAAAACTAGAATTTCATGAACCCACCATAAGAACCCACCAATATCCATACTTACACATTTTCAACTCATGAATTTGGATATTTCTACCTCAAAATTGGCCCCAAAATTGTTGGATATCAAATCAAAACCACCTACAACACAAAAGAAAACAAGATTAAAAGAGAATAAAGGCATCAAAGGAAAAAGAAAAAAAAAATCAAAGAAAAATGAGAAAAGGGTTAGAAACTCGGGTTGCCTTCCAATAAGCGCTTGTTTAACGTCATTAGCTAGACGTTCTCCACCTTTCAAGATGGATCATAGAGAGTCATATCAAGAATGACCCGAACAAAAACTCCATCATAGTAACGCTTAAGCCTATGACCGTTGACCTTGAAAGTCCATGAGAGGTCCAAAGGAGAAATTTTAATAGCACCATTCGGGAAGACCTCTTGAACAACAAATGGGCCGGTCCAACGGGACATCAACTTTCTAGGAAAAAGTCTCATTCTTGAAATTGTTAAGGAGCACCTTATCTCTGGGATTGAACTCCTTCTTCTCAAAGAGCTTATCATGCACCTCTTTGGCTCTAGCTTTATACAAACAAGCAAAATCATAAGCATCCAAACGAAGCCAGGAAGCTTAACCCAAATGGGAATCACCTCTTCTAATTCATGGAGATCTAACCAACGTTGCTCACCCGCACTTGCCAAATAAAAATTGATCTTCTTTATATTACAATGAGTACAATGCTCAAGCTCAACCGGGAGATGGCAAGATTTACCATAAACCAAGCGGTAAGGAGTGGTACCAATAGGAGTTTTAAAGGCCGTTCTATATGCCCACAAGGCATCATCAAGCTTATCCGACCAATCTTTCCTATTTCTTGCAACCGTCTTCTCAAGTATCAACTTAATTTGACAATTGGACACCTCAACTTTCCCACTAGTGTGAGGATGGTAAGGGAGCCCAAAATGTTGGTTTACCCCACGTTTCTTAAACATCTTTTGGAAAGCACTATGCACAAAATGAGACCCATTGTCACTTATAACCGCCTTGGGAATGCCAAACCTTGGGAAGATTATCTTTTTAAACAACTTCATTACTACCTTATGGTCATTTGTTGTAGAAGCAATGGCTTCAACCCATTTTAACACATAATCAACGGCAACAAGAATGTATTGATTCCCATATGAAGAAGGAAAAGGACCCATGAAATTTATTCCTCAAACATAAAAAATTTCCAACTCAAGGATGGGTTGTTTTCTCCTTGAAATGTTCTTGGTCCTTTGGCATCGGTCAAAACTTTTGACAAATTCCCAAGTGTTCTTAAAGAGGTTTGGCCACCATAATCCAGATTGAAGCACCATAGAAGCTGTTGGAGAAACACCCATATGTCCACCACTAGGATTCGAGTGGCACATCTTCAACACATTTAGCATTTCCTCATTTGGCACACATCGACGTAACAAACTATCAACACCTTTCTTATACAAAATCGGCTCATCCCAAACATAGTGCCTAGCTTCTATCTTAAGCTTCTTTCTACGATTCTTGGAAAAAGAAGGAGGAAACTCCCCACAAGCAAGGTAATTAACTAAATCGGAAAACCATGGGAGTTCCTTCAAATTTATAGAATACAAGAAGTCTTCCAACATTTTATCTTCAATAGGGGACCCATCATCTTGGACTTGAAAATCCTCAAGTCTAGATAAATGGTCCGCAACCACATTTTCCGCTCCTTTCTTGTCTCGAATCTCAAGATCAAAAGATTGGAGTTTAAGAACCCAACGAATTAATCTTGGCTTAGATTCCTTTTTACCAAAGAGGTATTTCAAAGCCGCATGATCGGTGAACACAATAGTCTTGGACCCTAACAAGTAACAACGAAACTTTTCAAAGGAATGAACAATTTCTAAGAACTCCATTTCTGTTATTGTGTAATTCCTTTGAGCACCATTGAGGGTCTTCTACATGTAATAGATGACATGGAGCTTCTTATCAACCCTTTGACCCAACACACCCCCGATAGCCGTATCACTAGCATCACATATAAGCTCAAAAGGCAAATCCCACCTAGGGGCTTGGACAATGGGAGTGGAAGTCAAAGCTTTCTTCAATTTGTTGAATGCTTCTAAACAATTGTCATCAAACACCAAATCAACATATTTTTGGAAAAGGTCATTGAGGGGCTTGGCATTTAGTGAGAAATCGTTGATGAATTTTCTATAGATGCCCGCATGCCCCAAAAATAATCTCACTCCCTTTACATTCTCCGGGTGTGGAAGCTTCTCAATAACCTCGATCATGGCCTTATCCACTTCTATTCCTTTATGAGAGATTTTGTGTCCAAGAACTATTTCTTCCTCCACCATGAAGTGGCATTTTTTCCAATTCAACACTAAGTTCACTTTCTCACACCTTGCTAAGCATTTTCCAAGATTCTAAAGGCAATCCTCAAACGAAACCCCCCCACGGAAAAATCGTCCATAAAAACCTCCATTTCTTCCTCCAACATATATCTAAAAATGCTCATCATGCATCTTTGGAAAGTTGCAGGAGCATTGACAAGATCAAACGACATTATCCTATAGGCAAAGGTCCCATAAGGGCATGTGAACGTTGTCTTCTCTTGATCGTCGGAGTGAATTGGGATTTGGAAAAATCCCGAGTAACCATCAAGGAAGCAATAAAACTTGTGCCTTATTAGTCTATCAAGCATTTGATCAATGAATGGAAGGGGGAAGTGATCCTTCTTGGTGGATGTGTTTAGACATCTGTAGTCTATACACATACGCCAACCGGTGACCGTCCTAATCGGAATGAGCTCACCTTTCTCATTCTTGACTACGGTCATACTCACGTTCTTTGGAATGACATGAACGGGAAAGACCAACCTAGATCTTGAGATGGGCAATATGATTCCCCCATCCAAAAGCTTAGTGATCTCTTTATTCACTACCTCCCCCATTTGGGGATGTAGCTTACGTTGTCGTTTAATAGAGGGAAGGGTTCATTCCTCAAGAGTTATATGATGCGTACACAAAGCGGGGCTTATACCCTTGAGATCATCAATGGTATAGCCCAAAGCACCTTGGTGCTTTCTCAACACATCACATAGCACTTGAGTGTGGCTCTCACTCAAGGATGCACTAACAATTTCGCGATAAGTAGAACTTGGGCCAAAGAATTCATACCTGAGGTGTGATGCTAGAGGTTTGAGCTCTACCATAGGCACACCTTTACCTTCTTTGGTCGAGGCCACTTGCAAAGCATCTTGACTTGAGATCCCCATGCAAATTTTTTCATAACTTCCTTCAATGCTTCCATCAAGCAAATCTTCATACAATTTCACTTTCTTGCTAGGAGCACCTATCTTTTCTTTGTTCAACAAAACACACTCAAGAGGATCATTAGATCTGAGAAAGTGCCCATGCATGGATTGAACAATATTATCAAGAAATTCAACACTCATGCAATTTTCAAAAGAAAAAAGGGATATTTCATACCTTCATTCAAATCAAACTCAACTGCCTCCTCTCCTATCTTAAGAGATATCTTAGCACTCTTAACGTCAATCATAGCCCCCGATGTATCAAGGAATGGTCTACCTAAGATGATAGGGATAGTAGCATCTTCATCCATATCCAACACTATAAAATCTACCGGAATGACAAATTTCCCCACCCTCAAGGGAACATCTTCTACCTTACCCTTTGGAATCTTGATCGACCTATCGGCTAATTGCAATGTAATCTTGGAAGGTAAAAGTTCCCCTAGCTCTAGTCTTTGATAAACCGAATATGTCATAAGGCTAACACTAGCTCCTAAGTCACATAAGGTATTATCAATTTGAATCTTATTAATAGCACAAGGGATAGTGGAATTTCCGGGATCCTTCAACTTAGGTGGCATCTTATTCATTATGATCGCATTACAATTCTCGGTTAGGGTAACTATTTCCACCATATCACATGTCCTATTTGGCATTTGTTATACCACATCGTTGAAAGGAAAAGAAAGATGAAGTTGCTTTAGCATCTCTATGAATTTCCCAAATTGCTCATCCAATTTGTGCCTATTATACTTTTGGGGATAAGGGAGGTTGGTCTTGTAAAGTTCTTTCTCTTTCTCTTTCACTCTTTCTACTTGTTCCTCATCAATTTTATCAATTAAGGGACTCTCATCTCCCTCAATCTCAATCGGGCCCTTGCTAGTAACAATTGCATCCATAGGGTTCTAAAAACCTAAGCTCGATGAAGTCAAAGAAAAAGAAGAATTCTTAAATTCCTTAAAATCACTAGCCAGTTGAGAAAGTCGATTTCCTAACTCCTTATTTTTAGTCAACATGTCATTAAAATTCTCATCTTTCACGGCCAAGTAGGATCCTAGAAAATTGACTTGTTTCTCAAAAACCTCTTCCAAAAAAATCTTAGAAGAAAATGGTTGATCATAGAAATTATCACTTGGGCCTTGGGTATTTGGAATGGATCCAAGTGGGGTACCTCTTTGAACATTAGGTTGAAAATTTTCCCTACTTTGATTATTCCAAATACCCTTAGCTTTATTTTGTCCATGATGTTGACTATGCTTACCATAACCTAGGTTATGTTCCCATTCCCCCGGCCATAATTTTGACCATTATAACCATGATTGTTATAGCTACCATGAATCTGTTGGAGTCCATGATTTCTACAACCACCACTTTGATTATAATTATCATAGTTCGCTTGGTTGTGATAATTCCTATTTCCAACATTTCTTTGAACCTCAAATCTAGGTTCAAAATTATGATTATAAACATAATTCACATGCTCATTTTCGATTCCATCACATTCATCACAAGGAACATTGGGGCACATAGAAGCATCATGATCATTCATTTCACATAAATCACAAGGCCAACATTCTCTAATAATGCAACAAGAAGAAAGAAAAGTGTTAGGGTAAGAAGGTGTACCTCTCCTCTTATTTTGGGAGGGAAGAATCGGAGCTCGCGAAGGAGGACTCTCAAGCTTGGCCTTGAGGGATACAACCTCTTTCCTTAAATCCGAAATTAGAGTGGTCAAATCGTTGATGGCATTGTGTTGTTCGATCGAGCACCCCTTTCTAGTTGGCTCTTTCTCCACCTCTTGCCAATTCATAAAATGTCTCACCACTTCATCTATTGCATCCACCACTTCTTCTTCCGTTTTGTTAATTATCGGACCTCCGGCTCCGGCATCTAAGCTTGCTCTTCCTTAAGAACTCAACCTCCCATAGAAGATTTGTATAATTTGGTAGGTAGGAATCCCATGATGTGGACACTAGAGTTGATACTCCTTATACCTTTCCCATGCTTCATAGAGACTCTCATTAGGCCCTCTATTGAAACTTTGGATCAAAGCCCTAGATTCTGCCGTTTTTTTTGTGTGGGAAAAACCGAGATAAGAAAGCCTTGGTAACTTCATCCCATGTTTTTAGGGACCTTGGTTTGACCTCCTTATCCAACCACTCTAAAGCTCTTCCGATGAGAGAAAAGGGAAACAACTTCAGCCTTATATACTCTTGAGAAACTCCGGCTACCACAATTGTATTACAATACTTCTCAAAATCCTTGAGATGATTGAGAGGATTTTCACTTTTTGTACCACCAAATTGTTTCCTTTCGATCAAGGTAATCATAGCTGGTTTGATTTCAAAATCGTTATCCGGAACCAACAATGGAACAATCCCACTCTCATACTTGTAAGCACCTGGAGTGCCCAACTCCTTCAATGTCACTCTATGAGCTTCTCCCATGTTCACTTGCACACACAGTCTCAAACAAAATTATTATTAACACGGCTACAAATGTAGCCTTAAGGAAAACCTTTTTGTGTTTTTGAATAAGATGTAATAGACTCAACAACAATAAAAAATCACAACACCGGTCCCCGGCAACGGCGCCATTTTCACAAGGGTCAAAATTAGGTCGTTGAAACTAACCCTACCCTAGGCTAAATAAAATTTGTAATCTCTCAACACACCCTTATACAAATATAATGGCAAGTCGAGGGTCGAACCACTAAGGAATGGAGGGCGACCTTATATTGTCAAGTCAAGCTACTCCGGAAAGGTTAGGTAAGGGTGTGAATGCTAAACAACTAAATAAGGTAGGTTGGGACAAATGTAATAAACACTAGGGGTCGAGATCCACATATACTTGTAACGGATTTCGCTAATTGGGAAAGAGTTGACTAGTCGAGTGATGCGAGGGAAAACCAATCATTCAACTAAGAGAGCATATCAAGCTATTTTCCTAGAGGTCTAACTAGTGTCAACTTTGATAAACTCTAACTAAGAACTACATAAGACACCTCAATCGTTAAATGCAAGCCACAAATCAATGGTCCATATCAATGTGAACCTACAATGCAATCTAGTGTGAATAACTAGGGTGATCAAGCCTAAATCAAACACACACATGCACATAATCAATTAACTAATTTAATAACATCATCAACTTAATCAATTTCCCCATACTAACATCAATCCATTACTCATATATGCTTCACCATTACCCTAGCAATCAAACTACTCACAATCCATAGAAATCAAGATAAAAACAAAGCTAAACAACAAATTTATCATGATCAAATTAAACAAACTAAAATCAAATCATAAATCAATCAAACTTCAATCAAACTTGAACATTCAACAAAACAATTGAAATCAAACTAAAGATCGAATTAAAGAAAAGGAATCCCTACAAACTTGATCAAAGATCAAAGGAAATGGAGAAATCTTCAATCATCAACAATCCACCATGAAATTCTCTAACTAAAACCTAGAGTATCTCTCTCTAAAAATCTCTCTAATTTGATCCAAAACTAATTCTAATTCTTCTAATAATTCTCTCTCTAAAAATAGAAGGTAAAACTATATATAGTAAAACTAACAAGAGAAAACTTAGTTAGATCGTCCAAAAGAAACTCCGGAATGTGCGGTCGCAACAAGGGAGAGGCACGGCCGCGAGAAAATGGGTACGAAACAGGGGCCTCTGCAGGCGCTCCCGCACCCGTATCAGGCGCGCCCGCGCCACCCAGGTGCGCGGCCGCCCCACCCTCATGCGCGCCCGCACCTGGCAGCAGGGGAGCTCCCTTTTCTTTGTCCTAGCTCATCCTCGTGTGCTCGTCTTGGTGATGATGATGAACACTAAGGTAGGAAGTCTTCAAATGAATCTTTTGGTGGGTTCATGTCAAAGATGATGCCCCCACCACATGCATGCATCGATCTCATGAACTTGATCCTTGCATTCCTTCAAACTTGAGCTCCAAATGACAAGCAAGAGGCATCCAAAATGATGAGAAATATGAGAGGAAGGCTCGGAAATCCTTGGTGCACAATCATAACCTGAAAATATATGAAAACAAGCAAATAAAAGGGAAAAAGACCAAATAAGCAAAGAAATGCACAAAGAAAGAGAACTAACTAAGGAAAGCACAAACTAAAGAAATAAAGAACACAACTAAGGAAAACTAAAGAAAAGAACTATAAAAGAGCATGAAAATCATCCTACAAGAAGCCAAATGAGTGCCATAAATGACACTCATCACGAGCGTGCACTGTTGCTGCGCGGGCGCTCCTCTGCGGGTTCCAGCTTCGATCTTCTTCATGTTGCGCCACATATAAATAACCTTTTGAACCCAATTTTCGCAAGAAAGTTTTATTTTAGATTTTGATCATATTCTTAGCTTAGTTGAGAGCTTCTCTCTCTAGTTTTTGGGTTAGTTTAGTAGTAGATTTTAGAGAGAGAAAGTGAGGAATTTCAATAGTGATTGAGATATTGAAGATTCAATGGTGACAATTGTGTTGGAGATCTTCTCTATTATCAATGAGCATTCTTAACTCTATCTCATTTTATTTCTTTGTTTGATTTCATATTTGTTTTGTTTCATTTTGATGTTTGATTGTTGATTAGTGTAATTGTTCTTCATAGATTGTTGATTCTTGATTTCTTTAGTTGTTTGTTGATTAGATGATGATGTTGGTGTAGTTGTTTGCTAGGAATTGGGTGAAACTTGTATGAATTATTGATTGTGCTAAATTTGGGGATTGTGTTGATTAATTGTTGAGATTAAAGTGATTAATGGAAGTTTGCATGTGTGTAATTCGATTAGGCCTTGAGAATTATGCTAGATTGCATTGTAGTTTCTAATGATACCTACCATTAATTTAGGAATTTCAATTGTCGATTGAGCTTGATTAGTGATGCTCTTAGTTAGAGTCTCTCGTAGTTGGCGCTAGTTTGACCTCTAGGAGATAGCTTGTTGACTCTTTTGATTGAGCTTGCCATTAGTCTTCACAACCATTGATTTGCATATTGTTTCCGAGTTGCTACAATTGTCATGATTGCTTGTTGATCCCATTCCTAGTGCTTATTTCTTTGGTTTTTTAGTTTTTTAGTTGTTAGTGTTCTCTCTTTATCTTTGTCTTCGACCTAGATTAGGCGCATAATTAAGAGCGCTTGAACATTACTGTTCCTTTTGGTTCGATCCTTGACTTTCCTCTATACTAGTATATACGTTTTTTAAGTGTTTATAAATTTTGTTTGACCGAGGGAAGATTAGTTTCGACGACCTATATCCACCCCTCGTCAAAATGGCGTCGTTGCCGGGGAACGGTGTCTATGTTTGAGTGTTTTTGATTGCTTAAGTCTAGGTCTTTGTATATAGTTTTCTTTTATTTGATTTTTGTTTGTTTTGTGAAAAAAATGGCATGTTTATCATTTTCTCAATATGACAATGAGCTTTTTGTGAATATTTCAATAGACTTGAGGGATTTTTGGACTATAATTGTTGTAGTTTTTGGGTGGCTTGTGAGATTTGTTATTTTGGTTTGAATGATCTAACAAGAAAAGAAGTTTAATGCATGCATAATGGTGAATTTAGAGCATTGTCTACTGATAATGCTTAGGATTTTTATGTTTGGTTTACTAGGGATGTCTATGATAGGGGTAATCATGTTTC